TGCATTATCAAGAAACTTTCCCTGTGATCTCCGAAAAATAGTAGTGATCTCTATGCCTCTCACGAGGCTTTCATTCACTTCATGTGACCAGCCTTCCCCAAGAGAATCCCAACTTCCCAAGAGCAAGAGCTCCAGCTATTTGTGTTCTAGAATCCCCACTATCTACAATAGTGCCTTTGTCTGGGCAAGTGCAACAGTATCACTGAATGAGTGCAGAACTGCCTCCATCCATCTTTCGGAATCTCTCCTCTTTTCCCCCCCTTTTAACTAGTCTTTCCCGATTTTCCTAACTCTCAGTCTCAAGGATGACTTCCTCTGCATGCTGACTTCTTCTTAAACACAGGATGAGAGGACATTTCAGAAGGTAACAATTCAGGTAAATATTACCTTAAACTTCAAACTAATAAACAATTTGCACCAAGTGAAAGAATCTAGCTCTTTACGGAGTTACTTAACACACTGGGTTTACCCATGCGTTGGTAATGAAAGTAAGGTATTCCTCAAAACCATATGGCATAACTGGACAGAAAGTTATATAAAAGTTTAAGATCATATCAAGTGATCTGGGTGTGGAGGTATACACTATAATTCCTAGCACTGGGGAGGCCAAGGAAGAAAGACCAGCTTTTAGGCAGAAAGGTTTGGTGCCTGCTCAGGTGACAATTCTCCTCCTCAGCATCATTATCCCGAGGTTTGGTCTGAGCACCTGCAGCCTGCTAGTTTTAGTAGAGAACAGCTCGGTGGAGAAGGACGGTGTGAGTTTCTGCTCAGCTTCCTCACATGGTGAGTTCTGGGATGATCAAGTTACACAGTGAGAACCTGCCTCAGAAACAAAGCCACCACCACCAAACCTAAAGCTATGGCAAGTGGGACGTGGGCTTCTGAAAAGATGGAGCAGATACAGGATGGTCACCTTCAAAGATAAAAACTGACAGACAAGATTTGTGTGGAGAGTTCTTCGTGAAGGCCCATGCTAAGCACTGAGGTCCACCAATGACTTATGTGAAGCAGAAACTATGGTATCCTCACTGAACAGACACCGAGCTCATACAAAGTTATGTGATCCGACACTTCATCCGAGTCCCTCATTATGATGGCAAACACTATATTCAGTAATTTAAAACAATTTTCATATTTCACAGGTCAAAATAATTGCAGAGCAGCACAGACAAATGCCATTCCAATTTGATAATATTGTGATTTCCATGGCCTCTCTTTCAGATGCAGTTTTCTAAAATCAATCTAACGTCCACCTTTTCCAGACATACAGAAATGAAGACACAGAATATGGAATGTGCTAATAATCGAAAAGTCAGGGAGTGTCTTTCTCTAATCTCTTCGTTCCGGGAGCCTGGCCTATTCTGGTCTGGAAAAAAAACCATTTCATTTCAAACAGCCGCTTTTAGGCTTAAAGGGCTGGTGCCTGTTCAGGTGACAATCACTCCCCTCACCACAGGTTCCAAGACAGTCCGGGTCTGCTAGAGTCGCGTAGAGGACAGCTCTTGTGCAGAAAAGTATGGCTTCCCAGGAAGGGGTTAAAGGAGACTGTCAACAAGTCCAATGGGTCCGCCCCTTCTAAGCAGCGCCGAGCAGTCGCTGTTTGGGGCCTCAGCTCAGGGCTGGCGAGTCCTCGGAGCCTCCGGCCTGGCAGCAAGCAGCACACTCACCTCCCGTGGGTTCCCGCATTTCTGCCCGGCCTTCCCCTACCTCCCTGCTCCATTCTCAGTGCGCGGTGAGCTCCCGCCTCCCCCGGAGCGTCCACCCCTTTCAGAGTCTCTAGATTCCATGCCTGGTGCTCCCCATCCACCCACTTCCCGGGTCCCCGGGATCCAGCTCTGGCTCTCCCCAGTCACTTCCTGCACACTCACCTCCCGTCCGCCGCCGGCCCGGGTGTGTCGGCCGGAGGCCCTGCGGCTCGGTCCTCGCAGAGCACTGAGGCCCTGCGGCTTCTCCTCCGCGGCCGGGACTGCTTCTGAGCCGTTGGCTCTGGCTCCATGTCCGGGGAAAGGGGGTGGAGCGGTGGCCCAGTGCCCGGGAGACCGACCGTGGCGGGCACAGTGCCCGCCAGCTTCTGCGAGGCAGTATGTTGCCTTCTAGCAGAGAGCTGCTACCGCCATCATCCGGGGATTTGAAAATGGCGGCGGCCCAGCGGTCAGCCAATCAGAGAGCGGGTAGCGGTTGCTAGGATATGTTGAGTCCCGCCCCAGTCCCGAGGACCTCACAGTCCGCTCCTGGAAACCTGAGGCGAAAGGCAAGAGAAATTAGCATTAGCAGGGTGAAAGTTAGGGGTTTTCTGAATCTCCCAAAGTCAGTCTTTATTCACTTTTGCTGCAGGCCAGAAAAACGGATAGAAAGCTGTTTACCAGATGTTGCTTAGCGTTAGATAGGTTGAAAGGAAAACAAGGTGCAGTGGTCTTTTAAAGACTAAGTTATTCTTGTGGGATATATGCCCACTTGCCAAAAGAAGTACCCGTGTCCTCACTTATGCCTCCAGATAACCAGTGAAGTCTAGCTATGTCCTCCTGTCTTCCAGTGCTTCCTCTGCTAGCAAAACTGAAAATGTGCGGCATGAAACAAAAGGACAGTTCTCAGGTTATTTTATGAAAACTGGTAAATAAAAAGTTCTTTATTTTAAATATTGATAACAGCCTTAAATGTAGTCTCTTATTTTTGTGGGAGGTTATCCTAAAAAATAACGCCATATGTGCAGGAAGATGTTAATGGCTTTGTATATAATAGAAAAATTAACGGCAATCCAAGTGAGTGATTGGGAGATGTCCAAATACAAATCATTGACTGGAAAGACTATCTTCAGCCTCTGAAGAAATAGTCTTCCCCAGGGAAGAACACACCAATTGGCCATCTAATACCAAGTAGTCAGCCCTGAAAACATATACAAGTAACATCATACAGACTGAACAGGCTATATTTATGTATTTAGGAACATATATGTATATATGTATATATGTATATGTATGTAACAATAATTAATGAAAAAAAGAGACCACAAATTTGAAAGAGAGCGAGAAGATGTATAAGGGAGGGCTAGGAGGGAGGGAAGGAAAGGAGGTAAATGATGTGATTATAATCTCAAAAAATAAAAGAAATAATTAAAAATAAAAGGTATGACAGGTGATGGTGTCATGTGCCTTTAATTCCAGCACCCAGGAGGCAGAGGCAGGTGGATCTCTGTGAGTTTATAGCCTGCCTGATCTACAGAGTGAGGTCCAGTGGAGCCAGATCCAAACAGAGAAACCTTATCTTGAAAAAAAAAAGTATGTAATAAAATTAAACATTTTAATTTTAAGTAAAAACATGAACTATAGAACTGTGCTGGCTAGGTTTATGTCAACTTAACACAAGCAATAGTCACCTGTGAGGAGAGAACCTCCACTGAGAATATGCTGCTATAATATCAGGCTTTAGGCAAGCCTGTAGAACCTTTTCTTAATCAGCAATTGATGAGGGAGGGTCCTGCCCGTTGAGGGTGGTGCTGTCCCATGGCTGGTGGTCCTGGGTTTTATAACAAATCAGGCTTAGCAAGATATGAGGAGCAAGCTAGTAAGCAGCAGCACCCCTCCATGGCCTCTACTCAGCTTCTGCCTATAGGTTCATGACTCTCTTGAGTTCCTGTCCTGACTTCCTTTGGTGATGAACTGTGATGTGGAAGTATAAAATAAACCCTTTCCTCCCCAACTTTGTCTCAAAAAAATCAAAACCAGCCCCTTAAAGAAAATGGTATTTTTTCTTTCTTTCTTTTCTTTGGGGGAAACCCAAAGGTGGGGTGGGTGTGGACCTGGGAAGACTGGGAAGTGAGTGTGATCAGGGTGCATTATGTGAAACTTCCAGACAATCAATAAAAATATTATATCAGAAAAAGCAAAAAACTAAACCAGGGCTGGAGGGATGACTCATCAGTTAAGAGTATTAGATGATCTTGTAGAAGATACAAGTTTGGATCTTAGTACCCACATTGGACAGCTCACAGCTATCTGTAACTCCAGCTCTAGCTTAATTGGATGCCTTCTTCTTACCTTCGTACATAAGGTACAGATTAGTGGAGATGGGTTAAATTAAGATGTAAGAGTTAGTCAATAAGAAGATAGAGCTAATGGGCCAAGCAGTGATTTACTTAATACAGTTTCTGTGTGGTTATTTCAGGAGTCCTGGAAGCTGGGAAACGAACAAGCAACATGGCAGTGGCTTACTGGCAAAGTTTCGGCATGCCTGTTTCTGGCAGTGGCTCCATGGCTTCTCCTTAACTTCACCTCTTTTCTCCCAGCATTCAGTTTAGTTTTCCCTGCCTAGCTTTACTCTACCCTATCACAGGCTTAAGACAGTTTTTTTTTATTAACCAATGGCATTCAAAGCATACAGAGGGGAATCCCACATCACTTCCCAAAGAAAATAAATATAAAAAAATAAAATACTATATTAACAAAATAATCACAAACATCTAGAAATTTCTCTCATGTCTGGGAGTACTACTGGATGAGGTGCATGTGTGGAAGATGATGGTAAAAAGAGTACATCTGACCAAGCACGGTTAGCACTCAGGAGGTCAAGGTAGGGTGACTGTGAATTGAGTTTCACATGGTCTACATAGTAATATCCTGCCTTAGAAAAGAGAGAAGACAAAGCAAAATGTTTGCTTTTTTGTTTTTTCTAAGTACTTAGTGTTGACCTATATAGCCATACCGTACTGAATGTGTTTGATTTTGTCTGTATTTAAAATAGTTTGAACCTGTTTCAAGGAGAAGGTACTTGTGAAACATGTATGAAACAGAAAGGTTTGATTTGGTTCAGTGGTTAGGAGTGTTAGTTGCTCTTGCAGATGACCAACATTTGGTTCCCAATACCTTTCTGACTATTGCCCCAAATGTTCTCATTTTCCCCATTAATGTTGACTCAATTCTTAATATTAGAAGAAAAATTTTGGAAGACATTTGTGAGGGCTGGGAAGATAATGAGCAAAGCGCTTACTGCAAAAGCGTGAGAGCTCGAGTTGCACCCGTGTTGAACTTGTTATACCAGGGGGGTGGTTTGAATAAAAATAACCCCCATAGTCGTATAGACTGGAGTACTTGGTCACCAGGGAGTGGCACTATTTGAGAGGATTAGGAGGTATAGTCTTATTAGAGCAAGTATGTCACTGGGGATGGGCTTTGTGGTTTCAAAAAGCCCCTTCCAAGCCCAGAGTTTCTCTCTTCTATTGCCTATGCATCTGGATGTAGAACTCTTGGCTACTTTTCTAGCACCATGTCTGCCTGGGTGCTACCATTTTTCCCTCTGTGATAATGGACTGAACCTCTGAAACTGTAAGCCAGCCCCAGTTCAATGTTTTCTTTTGTAAGAATCCCTGTAACACAACCAAGATGGGAGGCTCCTGAAGACCAACACCTGAGGCTGTCCTCTGGCCTCCACATGAATGTGCATCCACACCCACACCAATACACATGTGCATGTGCTCACACAGTAATTTATTATAGTCAACGTACATCTAGTTTAGAAGCAGTTGCAGGTAAGCTGTCACTACTTTAGTAGACTAAGCTGGAGTTGGCATAAACTTTAGCACAGCCTGTTCAGTCCCATCATGGCAACATTGTCATATGAGAACTGAAAGATTAAAAATTGGGTGTGTTGCTTTAAGAGAAGAATGTTTTCGGTCCTCAGGTGGAGTCATTTCCGGGCCCAGTGATAAGGCTGGGCTAGAAATGACTGCTCCTCAATCATCAGCACAGGGCTGTAGGGACACCTTCAGATCACCATGGTAAGTGGGCAAAGTATGCAATTGACAGTGTTGTGTTGGGATGGTGGTGGATTTCATAGATTGTATTTAGGTACTTTCCTCTACCCTAAATCCTTAATAAATCAAAAATGTATGGCAGGGCAAAGGACAGAGCACTGTCTTTAGTTCTCTGTGAGAAGGAACATAGTTACTTGGGGCTGCCTTAGAGAATTGCCTTTAGAGAATTAAGGGATTTTTCCCCTATGGAAACCACAGTAGTTTTCAGTATCTTAGAATTTTGAATTCTTTAATGGAAGAAACCTTTCAAACTGCCTTTTCATCTTTGTCTCCCCACAGTGGACTTTCCTGCATTCAGGTTGCTTAAGTTGCTTTTACCTTAAGAACCAAGACTTCCAACACGAAAGATACTTATGGTAGAACGTCCTGTGTCTTGACTGGACCAATGTCAGCATTCTGGGTGGGATGTTGTCCTGCAAGGTATTTCCCCTGGGAGCAAATGAGTAAAGGGTATGAAAGGTCTTTTGCTTATTTCTTAGAATTGCATTTGAATCTGCAGCTCTCTTCACATTAAAGGCTTAACTGAAAATTATCCTTTCTCAGTAACTCAAATCAGTTTTGGAACTGCATTTATTAGTGTGCTGGGACTTATCAATGCTGACATTTAGTGTGTAGTTTACAATCTTAGACTATTTAATACTACGGCTAGTGTTCTAATAGAGAGTTTTGAAAGATGGCAGAGGCTAAGAGAAGAATAAGGTCTCTACCACCAAATGTGGCTATTTTGTAGAGTTAGATGTTTCTACAGCCAAGAACAGGGTTTGTCAGGCCGAGTTATGCTGTGTTGAGAGGCCTGCTGTGTCGAGAAAGAATAGTACTACTTATTGTGTTGTTTGAGCATGCGAAGGGCAGCAATTTATTCCTGTTAGTGATTGTTTTTACTGTGACTTACTGTCAGTGAGTATGCCTCTCAATAGAGTTCCTGGTGTGGCCACTGACAGCTGGAGAAGGGAGTCATTGGGAGCTGTTTGCCTGTAAATTTTGTAGAGTTTCTTTCAGGTACAGACACAATAAACAACCTTCCTTTCTAAATCAGTCTTAAGCTTAGAGGGCAAAGGTCTGATTTGGTTAATATATTTACAGCTTTGAAAGTCCAAAAGGAGGGAGAGGAATGGAATTGTCCTTTGCAGATAAGGGTTTATGAAGCTTGATCATGATGGAAGGTACTGCTTTGATTGTCATATGCCAAGAGATGTAGGGCTATTAGTTTGTTCAAAGTGATGTTGAAGTTAAGGTCAACATCCATTGTCACCAGAAACTGATAGTCGTGCAAATAAACAAGATGAAGTTCTAAGTACTAAACCTGAAATTCTCATGGAGTGAAGAAGTCTATGGTATGGCATGTCAATTGAGACAAAGTACAAATGCTTGATGCTGCTGAGCATGGCAGAGTCCAGATCAGATTGCTGGGGTGTGACAGGTCACAGCTCTTGACCTCATCCTCTGACTTCTCATTCACACAGGCATGGCCAGCAATTAGTGGGAGGTCTGAGGTCTATAGCTGAGTTCAGACTTTGAGACAGTGCATGTGTAGTTGTCCCCACACCCAGCTTACAAGGCCAAGCACCTTGAAGGATTTGAGAAGGGAGAAGGCAGGGCAGTTCAGGATAACCAGCCTACAGCTCACAAGCCCAGAGAACCTAGACAACAAAGAGAATCCTAAGAGAGGCATACATGGAGCCACCTAGGAAGGAAAAAAAAAAGACAAGATCTCCTACATAAATTGGGAGCATGGGGAGCAAGGAGAAGGGTAGTAGTGGAGAGGGGAGGAACAAAAGGGATTGGGGAAAATGTGTAGCTCAATAAAAACAATAAAATAAAAAAACAAAAATGCCCATTTACCACACCCACATTTTACGCTTAATGACAGTTCTGTGTAGGTCATATAAGACTATACATATACAGCCTTAACTCAATTCTCCATCTAACACACACTAGTAGGGACTTTATAGAGTAAGAAAGCTTTTAAGACACTTTTGTCTTGTTTATCATGATTGCACGTATGCATGCGTATGTGAATACATGAGAATTTGCTTGTCGCCAGCCATGTGTGGAGGTCAAAGTATAGCTTTGGGTAGCCTGCTCTCTCCTTCTGTCTTTGCCTGGGTTCCAGGGATCCAACTCAAGTCCTCTGGCTTCCAAGGCAATCAATTTTACTCACTGAGCTGACTCGCCAGCATGACAGAATTTAAGCACCATTTCAGTCCTTGGTTCTGTTTTCCATGAAACATGTCTACTCCTTGGAATTTGTTAATCATGGAACACTTTTGTGGAGATGATTATCTTCTTCCCCTTGTATGCGTGTTCTAGGGACTGTATTCAGGCTGTCAGGATTGTGTGGCTGGCAATTGCTTTTTACCTTCTGAGATACCTAGCTGGTCCCCTTTGTAGAATACTTTAGATTAGTGCTTCTCAACCTGTAGGTCATCACCCCCTTGAAGGTTGAATGACTCTTTCACAGGGTCACCTAAGACAATAAGAAAACACAGGTATTCATATTATGATTCATAACAGTAGCAAAATTAAAGTTATGAAGTAACACCAAAAATAATTTTATGTCTGGGGGGGTTATTACAACGTGAGGAATTGTATTAGAGGGCCGTAGCATTAGGAGGGCTGAGAATCACTGCATTAGATTACAATGAACTTCCCTTATGATTTCTAAGCTAGTTTGGCCTTTTTAGTTGTAACCAGTAGTGTTCATGTTATCTAAACTCCTACTCCATTCTAACTCATTATGGCTTATTCCAGAGGGAGTGTCTCTCCATTCACATTGGTCAAGCTGGTGTTCAGATTGGGGATGCTTGCTGGGAACTGTATTGCCTGGAACATGGAATTCAGCCAGATGGCTTTATTCTGGACAGTCAACACGATCATTTGGAAAATGCTAAGACGGAACATAGGAGTGCATCTTTAGATACTTTCTTTGATGAGACAAGAGCCGGGAAGCATGTGCCAAGAGCTCTTTTCATGGACCTTGAACCAACTGTTATAGGTAATCTAAATTTGACTTGCTAGTGCTTTAACCAAGTCCCAACTCAAACAAACCAGGCAGGTAAGATTATGAGATGGTGCTCATCTATATGAATAGGATTGTGTAGACCTTTTCCAACCTCAGTCTATACCATGACAAACATACCCAAATGGACATTAGCTTCTTTCCTGTGGGATGAAATAAGTAAAGCTTCTAATCTATCCACCCACATACTTCAGCAGAACACTGAATCCTTTTCCTGGTCTGAGAGCAAAACTAGAAGCTATTGGCAAAGAACCTGAAAATTTGTCATTATCTCCTACAAAAGAATAGAGTATTAGAAAATTATTCCATAGAAATAAGGTACCATATAAATCTTAAAATTATGGGGGAAGCGAATGCTATTTTAAAATTCTGCTTATTTTTCTCTCTCTTTCTCCCTCTTCCTTTTGTCATTTTCTCTTTATAGGAATCAATCCTCTCTCTCTTCCTCTCTTTCCCTTCCTCTCTTTCTCCCTCTCTCTCTCTATCTCTTGTGTGGAGGTCAGAGAACAACTTGAAAGATCCCAGGGGTCCAGCTCAAGCTACCAGATTTCATAACAAGTTTTTACCCATTTCCTATCTTGATAGCCAAAAAGCTATTTTATAATTAGCAATGGAAGACTTCACAATATCCTGTCATAAAACTTCTAACATGCAACTAGAAAAATATTGGACACAGAAAGGAGGCATTGTCTTAAGAGAGGGTTTAGAGAGGAGGGTAGATTTAGATCTGATGTATATTAGTTATCTATTTCTACACAATAAGCTTCCTTCAAATGCAGTGGTGTAAGGCAGTAGTAGCCATTATTTTGTTCATGAGTCTATAATCTGTGTGGGGCTCAGAAGATACAAGTGCTCACTGTTCCACATCATTTCAGATTTAAAGATTCAGATGGGAGCCAGGGGACTCACTTGGATAGTGGTCCACTCACCTATCTGTCAAGTTGGTGTTCTGAGTACTGAGCCATGGATGCCGTTGGGGCTTTGAGTCCTCTTCATGTGAACTGTCTTTGTGAAGCTTTGACCTCATCATAGCATGGTGGTCAGGTACCGAGGCCAAGTATCTCATGGGTACAAAGCAGATGTTCATGACGTTTGTTACCCAGTCCTGGAAGTTACATAGTTCCATTTTAGCTGTTCTCAATGAGTGAAGACAGTTATGAAGACACAGGGAAGGAATATGAGCCCCTCTCCACCTTTTAATGCAAGCATAACAGGCTTCTAGAAGCAATGTGTGATAGGAAGTGTTTTGTGGTTATCTTTGGAAAATCTTTTGTGGCTATCTTTTGGAAAATAGTCTGCCCTACTAGAAAAAGTGCAATTTGTCTATACTAGATTAGAGTTGATTTCCTTTTTAGAATGGCATTAGAATGCATAATAAATTGATGGGTCAAAGTGGGTTGATGCCAATGAATGTTAATATAGTACAAATATTAAAGGTTTTATTTAAGTGGATAGGGTGAAAAGGGTAAGGCTAAAGATCCTTATATACAGGATATGCACTGCTCTGCTAGGTGTTATGAACAAGTAAAAACTAAGAAATTATTGGGAATGTAGCTCAGTTGGTATAATGCTTGCCTAACATGTAGGAATCCTGTAATCAGTTCCTAAGCTCAACATTAGAGCAGATATGGCCGTACACAACTGTAATTTCAGCTCTTGGGACGTGGAGGCTGGATGACGGACAGTTCAGGGTCTTTTGGAATACATAGTACCTTACCAAAAACAAACAAGAAGACTTATTTGTTTTTCTAGACTAAGAAAAGCCGTTTCTGCAGAATAAATCCTGTTCCTTTGCCTTAACACAGGAAAAGGACAGGGATCAGAGCATAGAGTCCTGTCAGGGTTAGAGAGGAGCCAGAAGTTACTGACCACACTTCCCTTCCTGCAGATGGGATCCGTGTGGGAAAGTACCACTCACTCTTCCACCCGGAACAGCTTGTGAATGGAAAAGAAGATGCGGCAAACAACTACGCACGAGGTCGCTACTCCGTGGGCTCAGATGTCATCGAGCTTGTGTTAGAAAGGATCCGGAAGCTGGCAAGTAGCCCCTCTCCAGCTATGAACAGGCTGGATACTTCTGAGCTTGTGGTAGCGGTCACAGCCTTGCTTGCTTCCATCTTCTCTCCCCAACCCTCTCATTCTGGGCATTCAGAGATACTTGGAGCATCCTGATGTTGACTTTAGTTACACTGCTACAAAGGAGGCTTTTACAGTTGTCAGGTGGTGCCTCTTTACCCTTGTTTCTCCTATTGCAGTGTGTGTGTATGTGTGTGTGTGTGTGTGTGTGTGTGAGAGAGAGAGAGAGAGAGAGAGAGAGAGAGAGAGAGAGAGGGGGGGAGGGAGAGAGAGAGAGAGAGAGAATGTGTGTTAGCAGAGACTTTCAAAGTTCTCTAAAATGAATTATTTCCCAATAGTCACTACCACTTGTGAAGGTGACAAGGGGCAGACCTTTTGTGAAGGATACTTACTGCTCTTTCTCATAGTTCTGTAAGGGTTTGACTCTGTAGATCCTTTGTTAGGTAAGTGGTTCGGTATAACCACTGGGAAGAGTACCTTTCATATCTTCCTGGATGTAGTGTGTAGCTTAAGAGGTACTTTGTCTACAGTGGAGGGGACTTTATTTTACTTCTGTATTTTGATCATTTCTTTTCTTTATTATTGACAAAAACCTTCAGATCTCATGTAAATTCATGGAAAACAAGGAAAGACAGCCAATTGCTTCTATAGGCTGAGCTTCCCTTAGCTTAATGATTGGGACCAGAATGATTGGATGGGTATTTTCTCCAGGTTTTGGTATATTTGTATACACACACACACACACACACACACACACACACACACATGCACACGCACACGCACACACACACACACAATTTTAGGGGTTCAAGCAAGACAAATGTAAAACTCATTTAAATTTTGAATAACCCATATAGTCATAGGCTCCAGGCAGTTTTATGTGGCACTTTCAGTGTGCCTGTATATTGACTGTTACCCACTCACTGCTCCAAGTGCAGATATAGAATTTCCATTAGTGGCATCATGTAAGTACTCAAAATGAAAAAAAAAGAGAGGATTTTGGAGCATTGTGAAGTTTGGGATTAGAACTGTTCAAGCAGTAGTGACATTCTAAAGCCTTCACAAACTCCAGAAGGATCATTCAGGAATATTTCAAAGTAGCCATGTTTGTCGAGTAGCTGATAAAGACCGAAGAGGCCATTCTGAGCCATTTTTGAGGAGTATATTCCTGTGTGTCTTTGTATACACAGGTGCATGTGGGGACCAGAGGACCCCCTTGCCTGTCATGCCTTTGATACCATCTACTTTGTTGTTTGTTTGAGACAGGGTGTTGTATGACCTGGTACTGGCCAGCCAGGAAAAGATGGACCATCATCCAGTCCTGGTGATCTGTCTGCCTCCACCTCTTCAGTGCTGGGGTGATGACTGATGATGACGCCATGACCGGCTTTTTTTTTTTCTTTCCTTTTTTACAATGTAGCTTCTGAGACTCAGACTCAGACCTGCATGCTTATACGACAAGCCCTTTGCTGAAGGAGCCATTTCGTCAGCCTTGTTTCTCAATCTTCTGTTCCTGGGTGCTTATATTCTACCATCACCATCTAGTTCATTAGTTTGCATATATCTGGTGGATTTTTCACATTGCTTGTTCTTTCCGCAGGCAGAACAATGCAGTGGACTTCAGGCAATTTCAATTTACCGGAGCTTTGGAGGAGGCACAGGGTCGGGATTTACATCTCTCTTGATGGAGCAGCTCTCGGCAGAGTATTACAGGAAGACAAAATTGGAGTTCTCTGTCTACCCATCTCCTAGACTCTCCACCGCTGTAGTAGAACCTTACAACGCCATTCTCACCACTCACTCTACCATAGAACACTCAGACTGCACGTTCTTGGTGGACAATGAGGCTCTCTATGACATCTGCCGTCACAAACTTGGTGTTGAACATCCTTCCTATGCTAATATCAATAGGCTGATAGCTCAGGTGTTATCTTCCCTTACCGCTTCACTCCGCTTTGAAGGGCCTCTGAATGTGGACTTAATCGAATTCCAGACCAACCTAGTACCTTATCCCAGAATACATTTCCCCATCCCATCCCTTGCCCCCATCATCTCTGCTGACAAAGCCTACTATGAGCATCTCTCTGTGCATGACATCACTGCTGCTTGCTTTGAGTTCTCCAACCAGTTGGTCAAGTGTGATCCTCGGCTTGGGAAGTACATGGCTTGCTGCCTACTATACAGAGGAGATGTGGTCCCTAAGGATGTGAATGCAGCAATTATAGCCATGAAGTCAAGGACCTCTGTTCAGTTTGTTGATTGGTGTCCAACTGGTTTCAAGGTGGGCATCAATCAGCAGCCGCCTACGGCGATGCCAGGAGGGGATCTAGCCAGGGTTCAGCGAGCTGTGTGTACGTTGAGCAATACCACAGCGATTGTGGAAGCCTGGGCCCGCCTGGACCACAAATTTGACCTCATGTATGCCAAGAAGGCATTTCTGCACTGGTACATCATGGAAGGCATGGAGCAAGGGGAGTTTATAGAGGCCAGGGAAGATCTGGCTGCTCTGGAGAAAGATTATGAGGAAGTGGGACTGAGTTTTTGATGTAAAGATGACAAAGCAAATGGATACTGAGTTAAAATGTCATTATTTGTTTTCAAGCTATTATATACTTAATGAATAAAAGGAAAACAGAAATCCAATCATCAAGGTCACAAATTGTGCATTAAATTAAATATATCAATATCAACAATACAGTCATATTTTCTTGTGCACAGTAGAATTCAGCTCTGCTAATTGAGAATCTTCTGAGGATTGCAGTCATTTGATAAGTCTCTTCTAGGTAGAGTTATTTTGTTACAAATTCTTATGTCACAGCAAAAACCTGACTTTAATCTTTGCCCCTCCAGTTTAAAAAACAAAACAAAGCACCAAGCAAGTATGGAACCTTAATGTGCTTTTCCTTTTCTGTATCTAAGAAGGAAAACAACACAGATTATGAATGTCATTTCTCTATTATTTATGTATTATACATCAATTAAATCACAAATGTTTTCAGAATATTTCTTTTCCTTTCTCCAAGTGTGGGCTTTAACTCCTTAGTTTTATTTCCAAACAAACAAATGAGAATACTGTTGGGCATTTTTAGAATTTAGGTGTGAGTATCCTGCAGGTAAGAATCTGTGTGTCCCTCTTTAGTTGATCTGTCCAGGATGGGCAGTTGTATTTGTTTCGCATGTGTATACTTGTATGTAGTATGCTCATATATGTGTGTGCATGTTTGTATGTCTTCTAGAAGTATGGATATGTGGGCATGTTCATATGGCAGCCAGAAGCTGATGTCATGTCTCCCTCAATTTCTCTCCACTGTATTTGTTAAGGAAGGGTCTCTTCACGAACTGGGAGCTCACTGTTTGAGCTAGTCTGACCCCGTCTTTGCTATCAGGCACTGGGATTATAGGTGAGCAACCATGCCCCATTTGCATTTATGTGGATACTGGACATCCGAATTCTGTGTCTCACCCTTGTTCAGCAAGCCCTTCATTCACTGCGCCATCTCTCCAGTCCTAGAAGACTTTATTGATTTCTCTTAGTATTGCTATGAGGACACATTTGACAAAAGCAACTTACAGGTAGGGTTTAGTTTGGCTCGTGGTTTAAGGGGATAAAGTCTATCATAGCAGGGAAAGCCAATTGCAATTCATGTGTCATGCCTAGAGGATGGCATTATGCAGCCCTTCTCCCTATCTTTCTGCTCCTACGTTCTTCCTACTTGTTCATCCTAGCAAAGGGGATGGTTTAAATGTCTTGCTTAGAATTGTGTGTCCTATCACATTCCTCTTCCACACTGTCTTTCCCCAGTGGAGACATTTCCAGCCCTCTCTTGTTGTTTATCTCACAAACACATGATTTGAAATGTGACTGCCCACATTCTTACCTCTAAGTTTTATTTCTTTTTTTTCACATTGCCCCACTTTATTTATTTTATTTTTTTAAATTTATATATTAATTTAAAAATTTCCACCTCCACCCCGCCTCCCCTTTTCCTCCCCCTCTCCACCTCCCCCTTTCTCTCTGGTCCTAAGAGCAGTCAGGGTTCCCTGCCCCGTGGGAAGTCCAGGGTCCTCCCCGCTCCATCCAGGTTCACAAAGGTGAGCATCCAAACAAACCAGGCTCCCACAAAGTCAGTCCATGCAGTAGAATCACAACCCAGTGCCTTTGACCTTGGCTTCTCAGTTAGCCTTCATTGCCAGCCACATTCAGAGTATCCAGTTTGATCACATGCTCCATCACTCCCAGTCCAGCTGGCCTTGGTGAGCTCCCATTAGATCAGTCCCACTGTCTCAGTGGGTGTAAGTTTTATTTCTCAGTTAAGTCTTACACTGAACTTTCTATTTTCTAGACACATTCTCCAAGATGCTTTGTGTACACTTAAATGCTTTTTTTTTCTAAAAATGTACTCTTTACCTAAAATACATTTTCCCTTTAGTGATCTTTATGTCTGTGTGTCATTATCTTCCCACTATGAAGATTCTAAACAACACTGTTTTTTCTTTTTGCTAACTTCCATGATTTCTTATATTTTATATAGAACCAGTTTCTGTTGATTCTGCTTCTGTAATTTTTTCAGAGTCTACCTCTTCCTTTTGGAGTCATGAAATTCCCTCCTTTTAACATCTTTTTCCACCCTGTCTTCCTAACCCCTCTTCCAGTGCTCCATGATTGAGCATTCCGAAGTACATATTGCATAATCTTGCTCCCTGGCCCCAGGATTTAATGACTCATCATTTCTTTGACATAGGGTATAAACTTCTGCACATGGGTAGTCTTTCCCAACTCATATCAACTACATTTCCACTCCTATCTGTCACAGTGCTCTCATAAACTACAACCGAGACAGTCCCGCCCCATTTTCTAGTATATATTTGTTTATGGCTGGTGATATAACTCATGCTTTAGAATTCAATTCTAAGATTCGCTGAAACTGTGGAATTCTACTGTCTTGTGTCCTCTGAGTAACCAGAGCAATCTAGAGCCTCCATTCACTCTTGCTCAGGATTTAGGGATAGCTGAGCTATGCTATGGAATTTCTCTCCATTTTAATTATGATATTAAATAATAGTTTATGATTCTTCCTTTTGAATAGACTATACAGTGTTTTACAGTTTTGTTACATTGTTTTTTCCTTAGTGTACCTGTTAGCTTTTTTCTTTAGCCACTGGAGGGCACCAGTGAAGTGCATTCTCTCTCCCCCTTCTCTCTCCCCCTTTTCTCTCTCTCTCTCTCTCTCTCTCTCTCTCTCTCTCTCTCTCTCTCTCTCTCTCTCTCTTTTCTCTCTCTCCTTCTTTCCCCCTTTCTCCCCACCATAAGAACATTTGTAGATTTTATTTTGTTTTAAAATGTAACAGCATAACAATATTCAAATGAACATTGTTTCTTAAGTTTTAAAATAAACCTTGTTGATCCTAAGACTTATTTATAAGTCTGGTTTACCTTTCCTCATGTGTATGTGTGTGGTGTGTGTGCTTATATACATACGTGCACTTGTTTGTGGGAAAGCATGTGTGTGTAAATGATGTTCCCATGTGTACCCTATTATGTGGAGGACAGACCCTGCATGTGTCTTCCTTCACCACTCTCTCCATTATTTACTGAGATAAGACCTCTTAGATGAACACAGAGCTTGCTGATTCAGTTAGTGTGTATTTGGCTTGCTTTGCAATCCCTGACTTTATTTTCCAAGTGCTGGGATTTATTTTTTGAGTACAAGCAACTGCTACACATGTCCAGCATTTTAGTGAGGCAAACTTACACACTTGCTTTTAAATAGTATCCACTATTTTGATACTTTTTTATACCTTGGTATTATTTTTTTATATTTTGGTACTATTTTTATACTTCAAAAAATGTGTCAAATATTTGAGGTGGGCTATAGAGTGACTTAATATATTCCATTTCCTTTAAGGGCTGTAGTAGTGTGACAAACTTTCTCACAAACCCTTAGGAACTCTTTTTAAATTTAAAGATTTAAACTATAAATATGGTGAGGACTCTTAACTGTCCCAAGAATGTTCTTAAACTAGAAAAATCGTGATTTAACCTTATAAACTTTAAGTTACTTACAAAATGTCCATATCTAAAATAGGAACTAAAGGGCTTAATGTGCTTCTTCTTCTAAGTCAGCTGCTCTGAAATGTTGTAAATACTATAGTTTAAAGTCAAATATGTATAACTTCTTTATCACAAGAACTTTGAGACATAATACTTAAATGCCATATAGGTGATTATCCAAAGCTTAATCACTTAGCAAAGCTACTGGGGACACAACACTGAAGAACAAGGACATAGCGACGTAATCCTTGTTCTCACAGAGCAGACTGTGGTGAAGGAGGCGAATGAAAGAAATAAATGGAATTCTAAAGCCTGCTAGAAGGTCAGAGAGACGGCTCGGCTGGTTAAGGTACTTGCTGCTGAGCCCAGTGACCTGAGTTCGATCCATGAGAACTATATAGTGAAAGAAGAGATGACTCTTGTAAGTTGCTCTCTGATGTCCACCTGTGTGCTGTGGAATCTCATGCTTGTGTGTGCACATGCACACAATAAATGAAATGTAATTTAAAGGTGTGTTATATCGCATAATGAATGAATTGCATTCAACTGGGTACTCCTTCTTATTAACCCTTTCTTCCATATCCATGCCGCAGTTGCAGGGTTTTGAACTAGACATGGTCATCTAATACTCCCCTAAAGCATGATCAACCAAAACATGCTCATAGAGGGGAGGCCTGAAACCTCTGTGCATTTTCTGCATTGATCATTAATTTCCTTCTGCTTGATTGAAGAAAATCTCAGTGACCCCCTTCAAACCATTAATCAAAGAGAATGCATGACTATTATTAGAGAGTGACACAGTCTCAAAGATGACATAGACACAGAGTAATCTGTGGGGCTCCCTCACCAGATATCTGAATTGCTCATGCACATCTGTCTTGGAGAATAATTTTAAAAATGTGTCTTAGGGAAATGGCAAATTATGATCTGACAAGAGCTCATGGAAGTTCCGAGAGCAGTGTTTAATTCCTGTGCACTCAAAGTTCCCTTTGACACCTACTTATCACCAGGACTGCTAGAGTACTTTAAAGCTCTTTAGCCTTAGCAGCTTGCCATTGAACTTCTATGTTTTTGCAGCTAGTAAGGCCATTCCTCACCTGTGCACCTGCTGTCCTCTGACTGGGGAGAAAGCAGGAGGACTAGGCAACTTCCTCATGTTAAGACAATGATGCCTGTCCTCCAAAGTAACACAGCACAAAAGTGAAACTTGGCATGATGAAAAGTGATGGTGGTTTGTTGGATATGGCCAGCTCTACCTCCCTTGTATTGAAGGCGTTATGACTAGCATGCTTAGAGGCATTATTAAATCTCAAGACAGGGTTTGAGTGTGCAGACAGGCAGAACTCTGGAATGGAAGCTCGCCAAAAAGAATCTTCCTGTTTATCTTCTCTCAGTGATGAGTTTCAGATTTAGACAATCCTCCTAGTTCATGAATTATCTGAACATTTTATCATCATGTTGGAGACATACTATTAAGCTCCAATACCCATTTGGGGTTTTTTTGATGGCTCTCCACTTGCAGCTCATTTGAGTCTCATGATAGCTCTATGACTTGGGGGGTTGGCTGATGCTTCTAATGCTTGTAATGCTGATTAAGAGAAAGTTCATGAACAAATGGATGTCTGTAACATGAGGGGCCGGCTTGTTGGGGTTTCTGTCCTGCCCAGTACCCCACAGCCTGCAAACCCCAAAGAAAATCACACACAAGACTCCATAAGATTATAAACTGATTGGCCCATTAGCTCAGGTTTCTTGTTAACTCTTATAGCTTATATTAACCCATTATTCTCATCTATGTTAACCATATGGCTTGGTACCTTTTTCAGCTGGGCAAGTTACATGCTGCCTCTTTGGTGGTCTGCGCAGGAGTGGGAGAGGGAGTTTCTGCTTCCAGAATACTCCCAGTCTCTTCGCTCCACCCCTACTTCCTGTCTGGCTTTCCCGCCTATACTGCCTGCCTGGCCAATCAGCGTTTTATTAAAATATGATTGACAGAATACAGACAATTCTCCCATACCAGATGTGACTCTGCCACTTCATAGATAGGAGACCTTGCTTATCATTCTGATTACATTCTCTGGTCTTCAATCTCTGTCTTCAAAAGTGAAAAAATTATATACTTTGGAATATACTTGTAAGAATTGAGATAATTTTCATATATACTTATCACAGTTCCAGGAACACTAGTGACCAAAGAACTTCCAAGATTTGATCATAAACCGGTAATATTCAGAAAAACATTTGTTTCCCTGTGCTTGGAATATTGATCTAAGAGATAGGATGATTAAATTTAAAAATATTTAAAGTTTAAATTTTCCAGTAGGGCTTGCAAGGGGATGATTGTTAAATCCAAGGATGTAAAACTTTGTAATTTCACTAAGTATTGCCAATTTGTCTCTCTCTGGCTTGCAGGGGCATGGTGAGTAACGGAGGATAGTGAATGCTAGCACCGCCAATGCAGTGTGTTGTGAAACTTACAGACACTTGCCAGTATGACAGATGAGAAGTTGTATGTGGTAGTTATAATAGTGTAACTGTTAGAAACCGAACACCTTTTCATAGCGGTAAAGCTCATTTGCACATGTATGTGTGTTTATGGGATCTGTTGTGTCCTTGCTTGTTTTTCTTTTGTATTAGTCCCTAACAAGCTTATTTTTTTAAGTAGCTCTTTGTGTATTGGACAGGAAGCTGTGTGCTTTTTACATGGGTGACTGACTTTTTCCAAATTTGTTCTCACTTCATCTGTAGGTCTATCTGTCTTCTTCCTGTCTGTCTTCTATCTGTCTGTCTTCCTGTCTCTATCTCTTTTTTTTTTCCATTTGGTTATTCTGAGATTCAGGTTTCTAATTTGTACAGATAAGGCATTATTATCTGCACTGAAAGATTCTCATAAGAGTTAGAAGATGATTACATGGTTATACACTTCCACCTTGATCACCACAGTTAAAATAACATTTTTTTTTCTAGTGTTCCAGTAACCTAACAAACTGGGTGGCTTAAGAAAGAGAGATTCACTGTGTTACAGCTCAGAAAACTAAACATTAGAGACAAGGAGTCAGCAGCCCAAACTCCCTAAGTTCTTAGGAAGGCTCTCCTTCAGACCATCTTTCTAATTTGTGATTATGTCTTGGCTTGTGACATAACTTCAGTCTTCAGATAATATTTCCTACCTGTGTGTCTCTTTGACCAAAATTCCTCTTCTCATAGGACACTGGTCATACTGAATTAGGGCTTATGCTACTCCAGTACGACCTCATCTTAAGTAATTACATGTGTACCAATTGAGGACCTAGGGAACAGGAGTTCAAAATGCCAACAGGGGAAGTAAGATTACAGTTTAACTTAAAAATTAGAGTGAGAAAACTTTGAGAGTCTAAAGATTTGATAAAATTTGCTTACGTACCGAGACTCCAAAGAAGCTGTACAATGGGCCATACCTAAATCATTCAGCAACATTTCTAAGCTGATTTGTTTGTTTATTTATTCTTTGTGTCTTTCACATCATGCCTCCCAATCCCACTCATCTCTTGCCCCATCTCAAAATAAAACAAAATAAAATTTAAGAGAAAAAGGGGGAAGAAGAAAGAAAAAGGGAAGAAGGGGGAAATCTCGTCATGGAAGCTGCAGTGTGACCCAGCGAGTCATGCAGTAAACCCCTTTATCTGCATATTTTTACATTTGGGCATTTTTCCAGAAGAACCACTGGTCTGGTTTGAGGCCCCTGGTCTCTGCTGCACCATCGATGCTACGCTCTCACTAGGAGTCTTCCTAGACATCCTGTTGTTGCCCTGTATTGTGGAGATCCCGTAGCCCTGGTTCTACAGGACTGAACTGTGTTTGTCTTTCTCTCTATGCATGTATTGGACATTTAATCAAGGGCTTTGCACATAACTAGGCAAACAGCTACCATTGAACTACAACCCCAGTTTCATTTTTATATTTTGACTTTACCTCTGGTAGTGGTGCTGATGTTCAGTGTGTGTGTGTGTGTGTGTGTGTGTGTGTGTGTGTGTGTGTTGTTATGTTTTCTCACTCAGAAGTTCATTTTATGTATTAATGGTTTGTCACTGTATGGAAGTCTGTAGCACAATGGCTTGTTTTCTGAGAATCCAGCCATTGAGTCTCACTGCAAGGAGTCCATAGAGGTTTTTTTTTTTTGATGTGGTCCTGTTTTAGAAAAATTTTATTCATATTAAATATTCTCATCTTTGAACTCTTCATATAAATCAATGTATATGTATGTAAATTTACACAACTGCTCTCTTTCTCAAGTTCACCATTTGTAGCACTGTGATAACACTGGCTTCTTTCCAAATTTGCTTCTGTTTATTTCCTTAGCTCATTGTCATTCAGACAGCAGAAGCCTCCCCTTGCATCACAGAAACGTCAGGATCTGCCACAGTGCCCGGCACAGTACTGGGCAGGTATGTGGGTTCAGGGAGGGTTCAAGCAAGGAGTCAGGGAGATGGGTCAGTGGGTAAAGGACTTGCCACGTTTGGTGGGTGGAGTTAGAATGTCTCATATGTTTGAACACTGGTCCCCAGCTAGTGGAATTGGTTGGGAAGGATTAGGAGGTATGGCCTTATTGGGAAAAGTGTGTCATTGGGAGCAAGCTTTCAGGTTTCAAGACACATTTTGCTATCTTTGCTCTCTGCTTGCTGGCTGGTCCTGTCTCAAGATGTACTCTTGGCTACTGTTTTCAGTGCCTGCCTGCCGCCTGCCTGCTGCCATGTTCCCCACTATGAACTCTCTCCCTCTAAAACTGTAAGCACCAAATAAGCACTTTCTTTCATAAGTTGTCATGGTCATAGTGCCTTATCATGGTAATAGGAAATAACTAAGACATCATGCAAGCTGAAGGACAAGAGTTTAGATCCCCAGTGTCTATATAAACATGCAGGGTAGGCATGGCTGCCTTCCTATAATCCCAGATTCTGGAAGGTGAAGACAGGGTCCCTAGAGCGCACTGGATGACTAGACTATCTGAGTCATGAGCTCTGGGTTCAAGTAAAAGATCCTGCCTCAGTATGTAAGGTGGGGAGTTATCTAGGAAGACAAGTACATCAACCTTTACCTTCACCATGCATACGCACATGCAGGTACACCCACCAATATACAGGTGACCTTCAATGCTAACGTGCTTACACATAGGCATGCATACCGCACACATACATACAAAGGCAACAAGAAACTAAGAAATTAGTGACTCCATACTCTACTGAGCTATGGAAGAATTTGGAATGTTATGGCCTCCTGCTCATCCACAGCCCAGGGCCCACTCTGAAACAAATCCCAAATTTTGCCACTTTTGTGGGACCAGCTTGCAGAGGTGGCTTGAGATGGAACCACAAAAGTTGACCGACTCTTGAGATTTTCTTTACTCTTCAGCAGACGCGGTTCCTGGGAGGGATGGGGAATTGACCCCTCAGCAACCTCCCTCATTAGCAGTTCCTGTCTTAGGATTAGTTTGAAAGAAGAAAAGCAGAGACAAACAGTTCAGAAAGCCATTGGCTTTAATCCAGATCAGGACAGAGTTGACATATTTGGGGGCAAGAGGGTGAGCACTGGCTCTCTTTGTCTCTGCCGAGGCAGGGGTGGAACAGGGAGGGAGCCTCAACAGTCTCTCCTTAGAGGTGTGGATAATGGGGAGGAGCTTAGAGAGGAGGGGCTCTGTGTGAATTTAGCCTGTTGCCGCAGGGAACCAGAAAGCAGACACAGGACACAGGGAGAGATGCTAACCTCCATCATCTGCACAGGCTGTACCATACTGTGCTTAAGTGAGTATGTACAAAGGAGAGGGGAAAACAGGCTGGAAAGAAGAGAGGATCAGAGGGGCACAAGCAGTCCTTTGAGAGTCAAAGGCTTGTCCTCAGTTTCCCTCACCCTCTACTCGGGGGCTCCTGTCTCGAAGTGCTGCCCTCCCCTGGCCCCCGCTTTACTTCTTCCCAATCTGTGCCATCAGCTGGGCGTTGGCAGCTGCCTTGGCTCGCAAATTCTTGGCCTTGTCAATGTTGAAGAGGATGTTCATGATATTAGTGGGAACATCAAGGGACAGAGTGAACTTGGTGCCCCGGTCACTTTTGACCTTGTCCTGGTACAGCTTCCCCTTGTGCTGTGCTTGAGACTGGTATCTGTAGCGGAGGCTTCCAGCTCCACTCCCACCCACTGGGCCTGAGAAAGTTCTTTTGCTCTTGCCATGCTTTTGTTCCTCCTCTTCCTCTCCCAAAGAGTCTTGTGGGGGCAGGTGGTTGAAGCTGGTCTTGCTCAGCAAGGGCACATCCTCCAGCTTGTTCTTCTTGACCTCAGACAGGGCCATGTTGAGGCAGCTGAAGACTGGTCCAGTGTTGTAGAACTTGCGGGAGAGGCTTGTCCCTGGGGACCCCAGAAGCAGCAGGAGGAGCAGCAGGAAGTACGTGGGCACCAGCATTGCTCCCTGCAGCGGAAAAGAAGGACATGGAAGTGGGTGTGAGAGGGACTTAGGTCTGAGAAGGACAAGCAGTAGGGCCAATAGATCATTTCTAATGTTCTTCTGGGAGGCCTTCTCAAAGGTGATCCCCAGACCAGCAGCATCAGCATCACCTGGAAATTTGTTCCAACTGCAAACCATTCTCAGGTCCTGCCCTAGAACTGGGGAATCATAATAAAGAGCCTGGCTGTCTGTGTTTTAGCACAGTCTTCTGATTCATCTGGATGTGTACTGTGTCTGGAGGCTTGTGGATCTGAAGGCTTGGTCTCATGATTGAGCTGCTTTTCAGGAAAGTTCTGGAAACTCAGAAGGAGGAGAAAGTAGGTCACTGGGGAACAGGGGTGTTCCTAGGAAGTATATTATGCCTGGTTGTGTCCTGCTTGCTGTCTGAGTCCTCTCCATCGTGATGGAAGCTTCTATAGTCTGCTCTGTCATGATGGACTGACATCTGGGACTGTGAGCCAAAATAAACCTTTTTTCTCCTCTTAGGTTGCTCACGTCAGGAATTTTCTCACAGCAATGCAGAACAGTTCACCTGTTGTTAGTTCTAATGTCTCTACAATCGGAGAATTTACCAGTATGGTATTTCTATCTTGTTTAATTCAGCTTTGCTACTGGGCCAAAAAGTGAATAACAGATGTACTAAGTAAGTGTGTGGCCGCCTTCCTGGTCTTCAGAATTTGTCATCTATTCTCGGTCTCTACAATAATGGTAAAGTGGGCAGAAGCTGCCTCGTGCATACAAGAGCTGATCCCATTTCCACCCTATCCCCTTTTGCCTGGTCTATGGATGTATAGTCTCCCCCGCCCCCAGAAATAAAGACATGGGCTTAATTAGCTTCATTATAGTCCCCCACCATTCATAAGAAAAACTGATGTGGAAATGGCTGAGGCTTATCAATAGCTGAGATTTGTCTAAATACCTCACAGAATAATCATGGCCGTCTTGCACTCTTGACATGCTGACAACCAACATGTGTGTTCTCGACCTGTCGTCAGAACACACTGTTGCCAGAGAGCATGCAGTGCATACTTAGCACAGGTTTCCACTGCTTTCATCTGGGTGTGCTCCTGAACTTTACTTTCGGCTAACTATGAAACGTGGGTAATTATTTTCTAGTGTCAGCATTTGAAAATTCAAGAAATATTCTGAAAGTGAATAAACACCAGGATCCTGCTGAACACTCAACAGTGAGGAAGGCTGTTTCGTTAGCTACAGTTATGGTGCACAGCATCTCAGCTGCCATTGTTATGGTGCACAGCGTCTCAGCTGCCATTGTTATGGTGCACAGCATCTCAGGTGCCATTGTTATGGTGCACAGCGTCTCAGCTGCCATTGTTATGGTGCACAGCGTCTCAGCTGCCATTGTTATTGTGCACAGTGTCTTAGCGGCCATTGTTATGGTGTACAGTGGCAGGAAACATGTAATCAGTGGCCTGAACTCTAAATCGCCTTAATGACCAATGTGACCTTGGCCATGCAGCTTCCCAGCTGATGAGTGGGAATGAACCCAAGGCCACCCTGAACTTCCTTAGGCTGTAAAACTGAGTCTTACTCTTTAGCTTAGGCTGGTCTGTAACTCAGTACATTGCCCATGCTAGGCCCAGACTCCTGTTTCAGACTCCCAAGTACTAGGATACTATGTACAAACCATTCCCCACTCCCCAACTCAGACTGCATTTACCCAAGTTCAGTTCTCTGAAGAAACCTGAAAGTCCCACACATGTTCATCACACACACACAAACCCACACAGACACACGTTAACACATATGCATCTATATAATGCATACAGGTTCATTCATCCACACGCATATACACCTGCACACACATGCACATGTATACACATATGCACATATAGACTCCCACACTCACTGCAGTTTCCTGTAAAAGTTGCTCCTTTCGTAGGTGTCCATTGTAGCTGCCACTCTTCTTTTATTTTAAAGTAACTTATTTATTTGCTCCCCCTTTTAACATCTCAAGCATTTTATCATTTTTTAAATATTTCACGACAAAATATATGAACTTTGCTTTAAATATTGCAGATCTATACACAGACCGGATATAAGCATGTCACAGGCTGTAGTGACAAGCACACATTTTGAAATTAAACAGAAATTGGCTCAGATGCTATATGGTCCTTTACCTGAAGGCCTTGGGCAGATTCCTTCACCTCTGTGAAATTCAATTTCCTCATCAGACAAATGGGTGACAATAAGTATTCCATAAAAGTTAAGGGATGAATTAAAGTCAAAATACCAGTGTGTGAAAATGTATGCTCTAACCACATACTCAATAGGCTGCTTCATCCTGTTCACACACATCTAATAAGACAGAGGTGTAGTCTGTACACAGACTTTCACTCATGTGTTTTAAGCAACAGAGCGTGCCAGATATTCTGAGTCAATAATTTGATCTTCCAGACTAATATATTTGTTTCAGTCCATCTCTGGCTTATAGTTTTTGTCTGCATAATGCTCTTTCTACCACAGTCTATGCAGGCTTGGTTTGCCTTACACTTAGTTTAAGGAAGTACATTGCTCCGAGTTAGAGTGCTTCAAAAGTCCATGGAAGGATCATTTCACCACACACCATGGACCCGGGTGCTGAGACCGAGAACTTTCACCTGCAGGTGATGCTGATGCTGTGGACTCATCTCTGTTCTATTCACTTCAACTCCTCTTTGTGATCGTTAGAATTTCTAGAGCTGGGTGTGGTGGTGCCACACACTTGTGCCCCACAGAAGTGACTAAAGCTGGAAGCTTGTGAGTTTGAGGCTAGCCTGGACCACCTACCCATCAAGAGCTTGATTCAAACAACAGCAGCAGCAGCAACAACAACAGCAGCAACAAGCTTGCTGGAGTTCCTGGGGAAATATTTTACAGAGCTGTATCACTGTTCTCTGTGAACAAAGACGCACTGTGTTCAATAGCCAGACCTTTGGCTTTACCGTGTCCTGAGAATCCAGCTAGTCCTGTGGAGAGTTAGTGAATGTTTGTTGTCTGAGGCCTTGAAGACATCTTAAAAGTTAGGAATAATTTTAATTCTTCATCCTTAAGAAATTTAAAAAGTAAAACAAAGCAGACAACAGTTCAGAAAGTGTTAATGCTGGTGGGAAAGTGGTAGAGAAACGCCCATCTGTTCCGTGGCTTTGTTCACTGGTTCCTTCCAGAAGACTGCAAATGAACTCTTGCCCAGGTGCCCAAGAACCCCAGTTTCACCTGTGACGTCAGAGGGCTGAGTCTGAGGATCTCTTTGTCCTGATTTCTTTCTTCTTTCACTCTTGAAAGCAAGAGGTCCTCCTCCACAGAGGATGTGGAGGTGAGGCGACCCACATCAGTTTAGAGTTGGTTAGACCCTTGAGTGAGTGTATGCTCTCGAGGGGATACCAGGCACACACAGCCTTGACACAGTCTGAGTCCTTCCTACATTGTGAGGCTTCTCCTGCTCTGCCTAAAACTGCTGCAGCTTAGTGGCAGGGACCACCTTAGATTTTTATACAAGAATCATAAATATTGCTGAAACTCAATGTATTTTGTGTGTAAGTCCACCTTGAGACCGAATTCACCAATACTGGCTGCTCCTTCAGTGTGAACTAAACCATGAATGTATAAACCAACACCTTTGATGGGACCACTTTGAACTCTGTATTTCTTTGACATGTCTAGTTCTTCTATGGTGTGTCAGCTTTTTTGTGATGCAGAGATTTTTTTTGTCCCTGTGCTTCCTTGGGGGCTCTTGAGATCCTTGGTAGCTGCTGATAGAGTCAATAGAGCCTTATATTAAGTCATATCCTTAATAAATATTTGTTATATAAACTAACATACAGATTAGCATTCAGGCACTTAGTGAAATTAATTTCCCCTATGGCAGAACAACTTATTTTCAAGTCTCTTTTTTTGATGTATTTTCTCTGTGCATATATATGCTATTATATATTAGTGAGGAAAAAGTACTTCATGAGGCACAGGGGTTTGTTGTTCTTATTTTGAAGTCATGCATGTATGTTTACATGAAAAAAGTTATGCCCAAATTACTGTCTACAGTTTTCCCAGGAAAAACTTTAAATTTTTTCTTGCTATGGCCTGGCCTCCATGGAACCCCTGCTATGGAATTGTGTCCTGCTCATCTCAATTACAGTTGGAATTGATCCTGGACTGAGAGGTGAGATCCCTTTTTATCTATTTAAATCCTCTGTGTGTGTGTGTGTGTGTGTGTGTGTGTGTGTGTGAGAGAGAGAGAGAGAGAGAGAGAGAGAGAGAGAGAGAAAGAGAGAGAGAGAAGAGGAAGAGAAAGAGAGAGAGAGAGCGAGCACTTTTCTAAAGTAAGTTATTTTCTTATTCTTTAAAACCTGTGTTTCTATCAGAGAAGAAAATCATGGATAGGAGACCAAAGATGTCTGAATGAAACCTAAGATGTGTCTGCAAGCAAATATCCTGTATGGGACTTCATTTGCAGACCCTGGGTCCTAGTGTGTGTGTATGAGAATGTGGGTGTTTTGGATGACAAAGAAGCACTAGCCTGACACTGATGAAAAGCTGTTACAAAGACAATTATCCAGAACATTGTGCATTACAGAGAAGCCTCACTCTAGCCCTGCATTATCTAAAATATAAGGCTTCTTGACCATTCTGGGTATTTTCACCATTAAAGTTATGGTTAGCAGTTGGGAGACAGAGTGACATATCTCTTCAGGGATTTTCTTATAATGGTTCATTTATATTTTTTCTGAGGCTTACAGAATCAAAGGAAAAATGCTTTTTGTCAGGTATAGATAGTGGCACATAACTCTAATCTCAGTACTGGGAGGTAGAGATGGGGTGATCAGAGTTCAAGGCCATACTTGGCTACATAGGGAGTAGCAGGCAACCCAAGACTATGTGTGACTCTGCTTTGAAAAGATGAAATAAACAAATAACCAATCAAAATAAAGCAAAACTACAAAAGGTGCCCATGTTCTCTAGGTAATGCATGGTTCTTGAACAAATTTCTCCTGTTAACTTCTTCAGGACCATTTACCTCAACTGAAGCAGCATCAAGTTTCAAGATGCCTCTGTTCCTTCTTATGGAAACATCAAGCCCCAGTCAGATTTACAGGGTAAATTTGTGCACTTATTTTTTTAATCTTCAAATGGCTAAAGCTCCTTGAGGTTATTTTAGCAGTGCTTCCCCATGGGACCTTTAAAGAGATACAATCACTTTAGACAACTGTAACAGAATCAAGCTAAATATGAGGCAGTGAAGGACCTGGCCAGACCGAGGGAAAAGCACAGGACAGAGAAATCGTGGATTCCACAGCTTCCCAAGTGTAGCAATAAAGACAGAGCTGGACCTCTGTGTCTGCAAACACAGATAAGAAACTCAACGAAGAAATGAGCCAGCTAAAACCTTTTTATGAATCCATGTTGCAGGACTTAGGGAACATTCAACATTTCAAATATAGGATGAAGTTTTTTGAAATATTTTACTTTTGGAATAGTTTGTGTGAAACACTCTCCAACCTAGATCCAGACCTAAGCAATTCCCCTGAGCATGAAAAGGGAGTCTTATGGATGGCAGGCTTTTCTCTACCCTGAAGACAGAGGATACATTTGTCATGTTATAAACCAGTAATGGGTGTATCCTAATTATTCCATTCCTAGAAGAGCCCCCACCCCCTTTACGTAACTGTGTTTAGAAAAGAATAAGGCAAATGGAATTCTCAGGAAACCTGAACATAAAAGGTAGACACGAAGCATTCCTCTCTATGCGTCCTTGCTCTTTTGCTCTCACAGGTGGTAGTCACTCAGCCATCGCACCCCAATTCCACCCCCCTCACATTCCCAGCCTTGCAAGATGGAAATCATTCCAGCCTGGGAGAGTTCTTCATTTTCTATGTTGTATTGGGTTAGCCTCTTAAGCTCTTGGGGTGGTTGTAGTAACTGCCCCCAACTCCGGCACGTCAGGGAAGGGAAGGAGATGCCACAGGCAAGACGCATGTACAAGTGGATGACAGATCTACGCATCCTTGCTGCTCTGAGGCAGTGTGTCATATGGGACTCTAGCTTCTGAGCATTAGTATCCCCACCTAGTTGTAAACTATCACCAAAGACTGCTTTTTGTATTCATAGGTGGACTGTATTCAGAAGCAAGAGGTGTGTGTGTGCATGCGTGTGCGTGTGCGTGGGTGTGTGTGTGGTTAGGACAAACTGCCCTGGATATGTCACCTCTTCAAAGCAGGGCTCTGTATACTAACAAAGGAATGGTCATTTATGCCCCCTGAAAAACTTCTCCTGATTTAAAACAAGCCTGGCCACGGAGGTCAGCACTCCCTTCACATGAGCTCCCACTAAGGGTCCGTATCAACTCTCCCAGCCATCTAGCACCCAGCCCTTGTGGAGAGAAAATTCATTTACACTTTCTAAGTCAGTTGCTAAGAACAGCCTTACCTGTAAGCGGACTTTGCTCCGGAGTGGAAATGCTCAGGGCGAGGGGCCCAGCTCCAAGGACCGGCAGGGCTGCTCCAGGCAGGTCTTCTGAACTTCTGATTGCTTGGGGTCGCAGCTTTGTCTTCTCTGGTATTGTTCGTAGGTGGGTTGTGATATTTCCTCTCTATGGAAACCGCTCCACTCCCCTGTGCACATATATATAAAAGTGACAGATCACAGGGTGGATCGTAATCCCAGACGTGGTGCCTACATTAGGGTGAGATTTCATTTAAAATACAACTAGAGCCAGCTGTCTACGTCACAGAGATGACAGGTACTCGGGAGACTGGAACCTCTCCTGCCTCTCCCTCCTCTAGTCACCTCCTTCTTCCCCTCCTGTCCAAGCAACTTGCTTCATTAATTAAATAACAAAAGAAGTCAAACAATAACAGAACCCAGACCTCAGGTAAGCGGAGAAGCAGTGTCTTTGGACAGGGTTTCATTACTGATATTAATTCCGGCTGATTCCAGCTTCTCTTACCTCTTCCTCCTGCTAACCCTCCCATTGGAAATCTGGGGCCAGAAACTGCTTTGCAAGCAGAGAAGGTGGTTTGGAGTTCATTTGCTGCCCTGTCCTTTTGTGGGTTCTGTGAGTGTTAGCCGGCTGCTCACACAGCTCATTATCATTGTTTGTGTTGGTCAAATATTCCGGTGTCCGGAGCGTTTTAATAGGAAATCACTTAATTTTTACTAGTCTGTGCATCCAGTATTTACTGGACACCTACTGTGCTCCTGGTATTTATCAGATGCTGAAAATTAAACTAAGGCTAGTCTAGAAAAGAACGAGAGAGAGAGAAAGAGAGAGAGAGAGAGAGAGAGAGAGAGAGAGAGAGAGAGAGAGGAAAACAACCTGATTACCAGGCAGCAAATGCCATTGTTTAGAAAGTAGCAGGACTGCCCACTGGAGAATTTCCTGTGCTCTGTGAGAGGAAAGCAGACGTGTGCACCCAGGAGGGCAGTCGTCAGGTGTGGACTGAGCTAAGGGAGGGAGTCAGCTGGGAAGGAGTCAGACAGAAAGAAGCTAGGAGCTGATCTACACTGAGAAGTGTTTGGAGACTCGTTTAAAGACTAAACATCACTTAATATGTCCTAGGAGGGGGCTGGAGAGATGGCTCAGTGGTTTAGAGCACTTGACTACTCTTCCAGAGGTTCTGAGTTCAATTCCCAGCAGCTACATGGTGGCTCACAACCATCTGTAATGGAATCAGATTCCTTCTTCTGGGGTATACATAAAGTGCATGAATAAATAAATTTTTAAAAAAATATATCCTAGAAGATGTGGAGGGGAAGGATTCAGACAGGTGACCCTTAGCTCATAGATGAGGAAACTGAGGCCATGAGAAAGAACTTATTGCTACCACCTAGACTCTGCATCACAGAGTCAGGATGAGAACTAAGCACAATACTTTTTCTAATCCACCTTAGACCTTGAGTTGAGTAGATTTTAAAGGAGCCATGTGACTGGTTGCGTCTCCATGGTACATCAGGCAAAACCAGAGGCCAAGACCCAGATGAAGGTTCCTTAGTTGAAATTCTTCTAGGTCAATGGTTTTCAACTTTCCTATTGCTGCAGCCCTTTAATATAGTTCCTCATGTTGTGGGGACCCCAACCATAAAATCATTTTTACTGCTACTTCTTAACTGTAATTTTGCTGTCTGTGTTTTCTGAAGGTCTTAGGTGGCCCCTGTAAAAGGGGTTTGAGAACCACCTCTCTGGGTGATGAGCTAGGTGGTCTTCTTAGATCATCAAGACACTCAGTGTCCTCAGATGTTTAGGGGGAAAGTAGAGAAGGATTCCAAGGCACCCAGTCTCTTCTAACATTCTAAGCTTTATAGAGGCATGAAATTGAGGGCTGGAGTGTAGCTCAGTTAGAGAGCAGGCCCTGGGTCCTCCACAAGTTCCAGAGAGGTTGGAAATTGGACCTCTTTTCCAAGTCTTTTCCCCAGAGATCTCTGGGCTGGGATTCTCAGAAGGTAAAATTCTCAGAAGGGAAAATTTTATCAGAAGATAAAATGCAACTAGATTTGTGATTGATTCAAATCCACTAGGATTTGGGAAGATGGAAAACCTGGGGACAGCAGAGCAGGGTTCTCAGCCTTGGCTGCACTGACATATGGGTCACACAATTCCTCGATGTGGCGGTCTTTATGGATCCCTGTAGGGTATTCAGCAGCCCGTTCTAAGTGATGACAATACCACCTCTCCACATACTATCTGTGAAACCAAAATAGCACTGGGAGGCAAGACACTAAACCTTGGCTTCTTTTCTTATGAATTTGTCCAGCTTACTCTGGACTTCCCGGAGACTTTCCTCTCTTGAGGCCAGACCCCTGTGAGGACTCAGGCATCTTTGCATCTGTGGCGGTCTCTAAAACCCAGGACTCCCTTGCTATAGAAAGCAAGTGTAACAGTTTCTGTTGACTGATAGGAGTTGGTTTTCAAATTCACCACTAACAGAGTTCTGTATCTAATGACACATAGACCTGGTATCTTAGTTTGGGTTTTTATCGTTGTGAAGTCTAGGACACAGGGAAGCTTGGGTGCCTTGGAATCCTTCTCCACTTTTCCCTCTAAATAGCTGAGGACACTGAAGGGTCTTGATCATCTAAGAAGTCCACCTAGCTCTTCACCCAGAGCAGTGGTTCTCAAACCCCTTTCACAGGGGCTACCCAAGACCTTCAGAAAACACAGACATCCAAATTACAGTTAAGAAGTAGCAATACAAACAATTTTATGGTTGGGGTCCCCACAACATGAGAATGGGTGGGAGACAGATAGATATGCCATATAGAGAGAGCTTGGGCCTAAAGTTTATTTTAGTGAGTATTGGGAAGGGTAGAAAGGGATTATGGAAAGGGGAGGGAGAAAGAGAGAGAGAAAGGGGGGAAGAGAAAAAGAAGAAAGAGGAAGGGGGAAGGGGAGAGGCAGAGACTACTTCTTCAGAAGAATGACAAACAGAGAGAGATGGAGAGAAGACAAGAGATCTGCTTGCCTCAACAGAAAGGGGAAATTGAGAGTGGGTGGGACTTGTCTCTTAAAGGGACAGGGTACCCAAGTAACAGGGTAGGTCAGCAGTTTTATTATTACAACACCTAAGACACATTTTTTTTTAAAAAAAGATTTGTTTATTCATGTCCTTTCTGTATACACTAGAAGAAGAAATCTGATCCCATTACAGATGGCTGTGAGCCACCATGTGGTTGCTGGGAATTGAACTCAGGACCTCTGGAAGGAGCAGCAGAGGTGGGTACCTCAGCCTTAATCCTCCAGAATGAAAACTACCAGACCCTATAATTGGTCATTAATTTGGATCTCAAAAACACAGAACAGTCTAGACTCAAGTTAGAGACCTCTTTAGATTCCCTGGCTGAGGTTGCCTTACAGAATTGGGAGAGGTCTGCACCTCCTCTTCAAGCAACAAGGAGGCCTGTGTACTGCCCTGGGGGAAGAATGCTGTTTCTATGTCAATCACTCTGGGGTAATTAGAGATTCAATGGCCTTGTTTAAAAAAACAGATTAATGACAGTAAACAGAACTCTCACACTGGAAGCTGACTGGTATGAAAACTTGTTCTCCCAGTCTCCTTGGTTAGCCACTTTTCTTTCAGCTCTAGCAGCCCCCACCCTCACCAAGGAGCTTGCTCTAGAACTTCCTCTCAGCCCCTGCCTCATCAACAGACTGATGGCTTTTGTTCAATAGTGTTCAGTTGATGGCCCCAATATCACCCCATTTGAACCTCTGGACAGAAAAGACCCATGATTGGGTCCTGTCATCGGTACTTGTGAAGAGGCAAATGTAGAACCCAGGGCCGCTTGGTACACACCTTCCAAGACAGGCCTTATAGGCCAACAGGAAGGTAGCCCTGAGTCTCAGTTTACCATAACGCAATACCTGATTCCAAGAAAGATCACAAACTGAGACCACCCATGCTCCACCTAGGAACAGATCATTCAAAGGAAATTCCTAATGTTCTAGTTAGAACATTAGTTCCTATTACTGTAAATAGGATCATTTGGTGTCCCTCAGCCCAGCACACAACCATCCCCTTTTCACCAGGGTACCCCTAGACAAATATCAGCTAACCCAGGATCCTGAACCTTAGAAATCCCTCTACTATTATAAAACCCCACCCCAACTGTGCTCAAGGTTCTCCAATCGCGCCAATATGTTGGACACATGGAGAGTCTGAGTTCGTGAACTTGTGTATGAATGAAAGCTCTTTGCTTTTATTCAATAAAAGCTTAGTCTCCTTGTTGTTTTTTAGGGGACTCCTTGTTGGTTTTTAGAGAATCTGGGTATAACATGAAGAGACACCATGACCACAGCAACTCCTATAAAAGAAAACATACAATTGAGGAGGCTTGCTTACAGTTTTAGAGGTTCAGTCTATTATCATCATGGTGGAGAGCATGGTGGCTGCAGGCAGACATAGTGCTGGAGCTGAGAGTGCTGCATCCTGACTCAGGCAACATGAAGCCAACTGTCAGTCACACTGAGGAAAGCTGGAGCAAAAGGGACCTCAAAGCCTGCCCCCACATTGACACACTTCCTCCAACAAGGCCATGCCTCCTAATGGTGTCACTCCCTTTGGGGGCCATATTCTTTTAAATCACCACACCGGGGTATCACGGCAGGTGTAGTTTAGGTACACACTTTTGTTAAGGATGAAAACCTCACTAAGTAATTATTTGCTTTACAGCTTGAAGGACAGCCCTGAACAACCCAAGGATGATTAGCGAGGAAAGCTCCCCAGGTGTCACTTAGACATGAAGAAGCAGTGGTTTTCCCTCCCACTCTCTGCCGAAGCCTTAGCGAGACTTGCTGCTGATCTTGCACATCTCTCTGGCCTCTGTGAGCCATTAGGATCTCTTATGAGTTCAGCAACAACATTTAGAATGCTGTTTAAGGGTGTAAACACTCTGTGGAGAATATGTTGGAGGGCTGGGGGGAGAAGAGAAAGCTACTCACTCTCACATATGAGTAGAAATAGCTTATATTTGTAAAGTTCATTTTCCAGTGTGCTCAGAGTGCTTAGATTAACAATGTAACTACTAAAATCTGAGCTTGTCAGTAGAGAAAAGGGAACAAGACATTAGGGAGCTGTAAGAAAATTTCACAGACATAAAAGATTTTT